GCTAACCAGAAAGTCAGCATTTCAAACCCACCAGCCGCTTTGTCCAAGGAAGTTGTAGCATTCTGCTTGAACAGCTTTGGAAAGACTATGGCCCGTTCTGCTCTGTCCTTGCCTGTAGCTAAGTCAGTGAGGCAGTGGGTTATGTTTTGGATCCTTGTCGTACTTTAATGAGTCCCCACCAGGTGGCAGAATTGTAACATGTTGAGATTGATGAGCTTCTCCCGTGACCCTGTTTTTCTAGTTGTTGCCATTGTTTTAATACATTCCAGAAACTGGTGGTTCCAAAAGGGCACAGATGAAGCGTCATGCCCAAAATATGATGACTCCATTCAAGATCACATTAGCTTGCAGGAGGAAGATTCATCTTGCAGTGACCGTGCTTTTTCCCCTTATAATGAAATCTTTCGAAGCTGATCCCTGCTATCCCTCTTCCTTAATTTAGATGGCTATAGGAAGGAAGGAAGGTTAAAAACATCCTTAATGACTAGATGAGTTTATCCTTAGGTGAACCATGGGGTGCTTTCTCTTCCATCTCACATATTCTCCTTTTAAATCTAAGAAAGATGAAAGAGGCTTGAACTTCAGAATGAGCCGCCCCAACCTTGGAGGCTTCCAGAGGACGGGACGGAGAACACAACAGCAGATAAAATGCTGAGAAATGCACACATACTAACACTAGGCATAGACTCAGATACACCCAGGGAAAAGTAATGCTGAGCAAACACAACCCATGTTTGTCTCCCTTTAATAAATGCAGAAGATCTATTTGAAACAAAAGAATTTATTAAATTAGAGACCTGTGAATTGTATTTTCTATATAAAGTCTAAAGCAGATACAAAATCTTCTGACTTGGACTCTTTCTCATTTATTTGTCAACCATCAGTTTTATAAAGGGAAAGGGTAAAAGTTGTGTTAAGAGTTACCCGTAAAAAAAAAAAAAAAAAAAAAGAGTTACCCTAAGCTCCATCTCTTTGCAAATCAATAGTAGTAAACATCTCTTTAGGATGCTAAGAAAGAAAAATGTGTTTGCTCTACTTCTGCTTTGTGAAGTGGCCAGGTGGGAAGAGGCTGTGCTGTAGTCCCCAGTACACAGCTGCTCCACAGGACAAGGATGGGCAGTCACCTCCTGAGTGATGAACTATCTCTGAAAACCCACTGAATGAGTCAGCCCATTCGGACTTAATGGCACACAACAACAGTCATGCATTGGAATGACTAGTTAATTGCCAAACTGTTCTATACCTTTGGCCAATCTGTTAATTAAAAATCTGTTAATTAAAATCTGTTAATTAAAAGACTGCCAGTTCAAACCCAACACTCCTCCAGGAGAAAGACGAGTCAATCTAGTTTCATAATAATGGACAGCTTTGAGAATCCCAAGTGGCAGTGCTTCTCTGTCCTGAAGGTGTGCTGTGAGTACAAAAGGACTTGGTGCCAGGTGGTTGGGTTTGGTCTTGGCTTCTTCCTGTTTCTTAATAGTAACCTGTTCCAGAAGTAAAATAAGACCCTCATTGGGAGGTATGTGGCATATAAAAACAACATTTCATGTAGTACTTCTGAAAATCTCTCTTAGAAAGTATTTTCTCCCCTGTTTATATCAGAAATGTTCCTAAAATGACATAAGCAGAGCCCTTTTACCTACAACATCTGATAATTGGTGATGGAGGTGTGCTTCTAAGATCAGAAGTGCTGTTGGAAAAACACATCCTGTCTATTAACAAGTAGTGGGATCATGATGTCAAAGCCATAAAGTCCAAAGCTCTCCAGAGCCATTAACAATAAAATTGTTGAATCTTTGCCAATACCTTCTTGATAATTTTAGAAATTATATTGTTGCAAGTGTATGCCAACAAGTCAAAACTAAAAATCATGTCACCAGAGCTCCCTAAAAATTATATTGTTGTTGTTGTTGTTGTTGTTATGTGCCATTGAGTAACCTGCAACTTATAGCGACCCTATGTACAACAGCCCTAAACCCTGCTCTATCCTGTGCCAATCTCATTGTCTCTAATACACCTACGCCCACTACCCCAATCATTGAATCAATCCACCTCACTGAGGGTCTTCCTTTCCTGTGCTGTCCGTCCACCCTCCCAAGCATGATGTCCTTCTCCAAGGACTGGTCTCTCCTTGCAACATGTCCAAAGTATGCGAGATGAAGAAATATTATATTAAAAACTTATTTTATATTGAGACTTACTACTGAGGAGCTTTGCTAGCTTAGTGGTAAGGAGTTTCACTGCAATTCAAAGCAGGTGGCTCAAATCTAGCAACTGCTCTGTGAAAGAAAGATGGTCAGTCTCCTCCCATGCAATTTACAGTCTCTGAAAACCTGTTGGAGGGTCAACTATGGATTAGTTCCAACTGGCATGCACATACCAATAACAATAATATAGTAGCCAGAAGTTCCTAGGGATTTCTGGTGGCCTAGAGAATTGCTCTGTAAAAGATTAACCCTCAGGATGTTCAAATCACCAGAATCTCTCATGAAGGAGAGCCAGTCTCGTCCCACATGATTTAGAGCCTCAGAAATCCAATGGACAATCATCTATGAGAGGGTTCCAGATTAATGCCAATAACTGTTTAAGAATTCCTTGGTGGTACAACCAAAAATGGGCAAAAATGTGTACATTTGAGTCCACCCAGAGATGTTGCAGAAGAAAGAGTTTGTGATCAGCTTCCAAAAAGTCAGCCGTTGAAAATCCTATGGAAGACACAAGTGTATTCTCCTATTCATGGTTTGTCATGAATCAGAATATGCTCAAGTGCAGCTTGCTTATGAGAATGAGACAAGTGACAACAGTATTCTCAATCATATGCAAAGAATTTGCTGGTGGTTTTCTTTTAGGCTACATGTTGTTTCCTAATTCTTTAAAACTCATTGACTTTTTCAGTCCCTTCATTTTCAGAGCTGTAGGTTGTGAGATGTTTCAGTCAAGTTCTGTCCCCGGTGGGATAATATCTGGTAAAGATTCAGAAATTTCTGACAAAAGATCCTGGACTTCTTGTGTTAGTTAGGATGGCCTTCTGTACAGGAAATGTCCTGAGATTGATAAATGTTCCCAATTATATTAATAGCAGCACTGACTGCTGAGACGCTAAGCCCCCAAAACCTTTTTCATTCAGATTCACTTCACAGACAGTGTAATAGGAAAGGTGCCGCTCATTGATTCCCAGGGAAGCTGGTCAGCTCTCTGAGTGAATAGCATTTTCCTGTCCTACCCACTGGGTTTGTGCATATCTGTGCAAATTTCAGCCACAGTCTGCTTTTTATAACTCACCATATCCCAGGGAGCAAGAAAGAAAATACTTCCATGAAGACCAATTTCATTGCATTTCAAAACACTTAAAGCCTCTTACCTGCTGTGACAGAGAGCTCAGTTCCACTAAGCTCCAGAGAAAAGAGGAGGCTTTTCTTCATGGAGCAGGTATTTTCTGTGCGCTGAGTCGTATCTGAGGTACATTGCTCAGGAAGAACGCACCTTATCAAAGAGACTGCCTTGGGCTCTTTGGGAACCTCCGCTGAATCAACGCTCACTGGGGCCATGGTCCATTGACGTCTTTTAAGTGTAGATCTCCAAAAGAGAGGTGGATGGCAGTGTGCACGTTCTTTGTTTTCTCAGGCTGCACAAGACTTTGTAGCCCACCTGTCCCTGGAAATATTCTGTGAAAATAGGAACAGATTGTGGCTTAGGTAATTTCAGTAGCTTTGATTATCAAGATTATCTAGCAGAAGCTATCAATAAATACAGAACTGGCTAGATGGTTTGCAAGGCTGAATGTAAAATAAGAATTCCAGACCTTTGTTCAAAAAGTAGTAAAGATTCCAAGATGGTGACAGCAGAGCATCAAATTAACTGATGGTACATATAACACATGCATGAAGCCAGCCCTACACGAACTCTCTTTTTCGTAAATACCATAGGATGCTGCTCTTTGAACAGCAGCAGTTGAAATGGTGAATGATGGGTTATACTCTAAAAAAAAAAAAAGCTTGGTTGCCTAGCAACTGGAAAAGGACCTGAAATGGCTGACTTGCAGGTTCAGATATATCATCTTAAAAGTCTAAAATTCATGGAAACCTTCTGGTGGACCAATAACTGTCAAGAAAAAAGGGATGTAACAGAAGATGGCAATGTGGAGGGCAAGAAGAGAAATGTTTCTCTACTCTGATAATCTCCTAGGTGGCTAGCTTCTAATTTTCGCTGTTAACAATCTTCTAAGACTAAAACTCATCCTAAGGGAAGTGACAGTGATGTGCCAATCGTGGTAATGGGCACCCATGGTGGACAGTGTTGGCTGGAGCTTCCCGACTAAATCAAGCCTGGAAGCAGGAGCGGCATCCACTTCCAAAATGGCTTGCCTCCGGAAACTCTATGTACGAACAGTGCTCAGGCTGTTCATTCATAGGGTTGTTATGAGTCGTCTACGACTCGACAGCATTAAACAACAACAACAAGGGAAGTGAAAGCAAAAAGGAAATTCTAGTTTCTTCAGAAATAGAAGGAATTACTTTCCCTTGACGAATAATGAGAATGTGAGTTAATAAATGTTTGTTGGTTACATTCATTTGACAATTAAAAAAATATGATAACTGGATCAAATTCCCAGGATGTTTATTTAATAAGTGCTTACAGTGTAAAAGAGCTCCAAAGGGAGCTCTGGTAACCTAGTGGCAAGAAGCTGAGCTGTAATCCCAAAGGCGTGTGTGTCAAATCCACCAGCTTCTCCAAGGTAGAAGGATGGGCATTCTCCACCCGTGGAATTAACTGCCTCTGAAAACCTGGCAGAGGGTCAGCTATGATTCGGTTGTGACTCAGTGACACACAACAACTTGTAATAGAATACAGAGTTATAGAAAGTTAATTTTATTCCAAAGAACTTTAGTCTCATGATACAAAGACTCTAAGCTAGTACATAAGGAACAAGTCCACACCAGCATTACATTTTAAGAGAAGAACCCATCACTTGCTCATTCTTCCCCTTTGGTATTTTATAGGGTCCTTGTGCTGCAGAATCAGAACCAGCCTTGTTGCTGGGGAGTAAGCAGTTTGGGCTTTCAAAAAATAGTCACATGGCAATTGCTTTTGATGACACCAAGGTTAAGAACAGGTATGTATTATTCCTTGATGTTGGGGAAAGTCTGATCATTGGAAATATTGAGCATTTACATCTAATCAAGTGTCATCAACTACATGCATTAATTAATTGATTGATTGATTGATTAATTAATTAATGAGGGTATGTGCATGTGTGTGTGTGTTGTGATTCATTAATGATTGCAGAGAACAAATTGTCTATTGCTGCACCCTCTTTTGGGGATCAGCAGATTTAGACAGGTCTGATCTCTAAGAGCGTTTGTCCCACTTCCATTGGCCTCTACCTTTGAGCTTTCATAATCTCTCTTTAAAGAATAGTGTGTTACTTTGTCTGCTTTTATTTCACAGCCTCACAATTGAGTTTGAAGTACGAACCGAAGCTGAATCGGGACTGCTTTTTTACATGGCTCGGATAAACCATGCTGATTTTGCCACAGTTCAGCTGAGGAATGGATTTCCCTACTTCAGTTATGACTTGGGAAGTGGAGACACCAAAACCATGATCCCCGTCCAGATCAATGATGGCCAGTGGCACAAGGTATTATAGAACCTGGGTACCAAGTACACCGATATCCCCATCTGCCAGTACTATTTTGCCAAAGCATATATTCACTGCCATTGAGTTGCGGTGCTGGAGAAGAGTACTGAACATACCACAAACTGGCAAGAAAACAAACAGATCTGTTCTAAAGAGGGTAAAACCAGGTTGCTTTTTAGAGGCAAGGAATTTGAAACTCTGTCTCATGTACTTTGAGAATACTTGGTCAGTGTGGTCCAGTCCTTGGAGAAAGACATCATGCTTAGATGGGTGGAGATTCACTTCAAGAGAAGAGCCTATTGAGACATATTGACATAGTGACTTTAGAAATGGGAATAGGTGTGTCAGAGATAGTGAGGTGGGCTCAGAATAGGGCAAGGTTCAGAGCCATTGTTCATAGGGTCACTATGAATTATAGTGGACTTGATGGCACATAACAACAATGTATTCACTCTTGGACTACTCGAAAGTGAGATAGACTCAAAGTAGAGTGAACGCCTTATACACCTGTTGTAGCCTTGGAAAATATGTTAATATCTATTCAAGTATCTAATTGACTACTTACATGCCTCATCATGATAATCCAGAGTTCTGTCATATTGCATGACTAAGGTTCTCAAAAGTCTGTCTACAAGACATTTTTGCTCTCAAAAGTAGAACTATAGAACAATAGAGTGTTAATCATAAAGTATGGTTTCTTCAAGTGAGCTCTAGCAGACTGGTCCACAGACAGCCGTACTCTTAACCCAAAGATGCCGTCTCACTAGTCTTTGAATCCACTAGCTGCTTAGTAGAAGAAAGATGACAGTTTCTCCTGAGAAATTCCTCCTGGAAATCAGCACGAATTGGTTTTCCATTCAAAAATACATACACAGTTGGACTGGTGACATTACAATCCCCATGTCATAGGTTATCAGAAGACTGGAAATAAACTATCAGTCAGTTCAGACTTGACAACAATGACTTTGAGTTCCTTTGCTTATCTGTTTCTTGTATTTAAAGTAATAATACTTAGAGATTATATTGACATACTTGTGATGTACTGATGGCCTGTTTTGAATGAAATAATATTTGATAATAGTAAAATTTGTCCAAATTAGGATAAGCCCTAGAAATTACCCTTCACACTCAAACCTTACCGTGGTCTGTAACAATCTAGAACCTGTCAATGTTGTGTTTAAAGGGCTCTAACATATCATTTCCACTTACATTTGGAATGACTTTAAAATCTTTGGCCTTACACCCAGGAACTGGAATTGTTATAGTCACAGAAGGCTCATTTCTCAGCTTATTGTCCTCGTTGGCATGACTGCAAATAGATAAAATTGATTAAAATGAAATCTCTGAATTTGTCTTTGCACCTGTGATAACCTATTAAGTAAAGCTATCCAAAGTAGACCAATAATGTATTTTTAATTTTCAGAGTAGCACATCATTAAAAGTTGGTATATTGACATACTTTCACTTTTCTTATCATCTAGGAAGCCACATAACCAATTAAAATGCATAAAGGAAAAATGCAACCAATTGTCATCATAGAAATAAAAAAAGTGAAACCTTCCTATTTGCTTGGGATTTCATCACTATCAAATATAACCCTCATGAAAGAGCTCCTGTTATGTGTTTCTTATTTGTAGTAACTAAAATAGCAAATAAAACACTTGTTAAAAAGCATATTTCTGGACCATACATAGTAAGGCTGAGATCAAGAAAAGAGATCTAAATACCATAACTTGCCAAATTCCTAGAGGATTTCCTGTTTATGAAAGTTTTTAAAAAATAAGTCCAAAACTAGAGGTCTTAAGTTACTCCATTTCAGAAGTAGACTCATTTTTAGGTGTGACTTCAGTGAAAGTTTATAGAAAAAGAATGGCTATCCACTTAAAAAGTCATATACATTTGTTTTGTAACATTGTTTGCTGTCTTTCCAATAATCCTTTCCTGTCTTCTAAACTTCATCCCGGGGCACATATTTCTCTTTCAATCTTAAGTGCTTGATTGTTCTAAAAATTTTGTACTTCCTTGCTTTTACAGTTTAGTTTACATTATTTGTCTGAAAACTGGGGAAGGAGTAAGTTCAATTATAGGTTGGAAGGATATCTAAGAGCTCTTGCCTTACAAATTCCATTTTATCAGACTAGCAAGCATGTAATTTTTTATTATTATTTCAAGCTTCCTTATACACATTTCTCCCATATTTTAGAATCTCTCCTACTCCTAATCCTTTCAGAGCAATCAGCCACGATCTAATTCATCTAGTCTCAGGGTCTTAGAAACGGGAGTTCCCATGGTCTATTGGGAACTGCTTCTTTACATCTTTGATTTCTTTCACTCTTCTTTGGTCTAGATGAGGAAGCCTATAACTACACCTTTAGATGGCTGTTCACAAGCTTTAAAGCCCCAACCTATTCACCAAAGTAGGATGCTTAACACTGTCTTTTTTTTTTTTTTCACTATGTTGTGGTATTTGAGACTATAGGTCTGAGTTCCTAGACCTAGCACCTCATTCCCTTACAGTGTTTATGACTAAGAAGTTCTTACAACTTTGCTCCTGATATGTTCTGCAATGTACATGGATATATTTGTAAGACATAACTGTATATGTAGAAATACCCTCTGTCTAACCTATAGGGAGGTCATGTGGACTAGTGGTAAGAAGCTGTGCTACAATTCCAAAGACATTCAGTTCTAATCTACCAGCTGCTCTGCAAGAGAAAGATAAGCAGTCTCCTCCTGTGCAATTTACTGGCTCTGAAAACCTTCTGGAGAGTCAGCTGTGGGTTGGTTCTGACTCAATAGCACATAACAACAACAATGTCAACAACTAATCTATACAAGTGTTGGTAGTATAGTCCCGTTCACCTTCCCATTCCTATTCAGTTTATGTGAATCCAGAAGTATTTTTAAATTATCAAGCTACTCTAGCATTCCCTAGGCTTACATATTCCGTTTCCTAAATTTAGATTTCTGGTTATATTGAGAAAGTCTTCACATATCTATCCAAAAAGATCATTCATGCCACAGCCACAACAGCTACTGCATAAGTGCCAGTACAGCTGGTTACATGGATTGTTTTGGAGATAATGAAGAAGATGATGATGATAATGATGGAAGGGACAGAATATGAGCTTGTCTACAACATAGGTCCAATATAACTTCTATCATTTTTATACAGTAGACATCTGATAAAGGTTATTTCTCTTTCCCTCAGGCATATGATAAAAGCTCCATTCTTATACTGCGTGTTTAAAGTTTTTCCAAGACTGGCATTAATTCTACCTCTTGTTTTAATTTTTTTTTTTTAGATTAAGATTATGCGAATTAAACAAGAAGGAATTCTTTATGTAGATGATGCCTCCAACAGAACCATCAGTCCCAAGAAAGCTGATATCCTGGATGTGGTGGGAATTTTATACGTTGGAGGACTACCTATAAATTATACAACTCGAAGAATTGGTCCGGTAAATATCTAATTTGCTTATTGTCTAAATAACTTCTTGTTGTTGTTAAGTGCCGTCGAGTCATAGGTGACTCATAGCACTTGCGTGCGTGATTTTCATCCTTTCTCCAGGTTCATAGGGTTTCTGGAGGCAAGCTATTTACAGAAGTGGATGCCACTCCTGCTTCCAAGCTTGTTTCAACTAGACAAGTTATTTATTTACTAGGTCATCAGAGCTCCATAATATTTTGCATTATCAGGTCACACTTTTTCACAATCACTTATAGGTGAACAAGAAATACCTTTTATGAGAAGTGACAGATTTATACACAGATTTGACTATCAGTATCACAGAGCAGAGTGCATATTCTGGAGCCAAACTTCCTCAATTTTACTATCTGCTTTGTTATTGACTAGCTGTGTGAACTTTAGAAAGTTAATTACTTTTCTTTGACTGTTCTTTCATTAATAAAATAGGAGAAAAATATTGCATTTCTAACTGACATCAAAGTGGCCCTTAACTCATGCTGATACTGTGCACAACTGAACCAGCCCTTTGTGATCCAGGCTTTTCATTGACTAAGCTTTTCTTCCTTATCTGTGTTAGTTTCAAAACATAGAATCATTGTACCATTTAAGCCTCTCCAAACAAGTAGTGATGGTGCTTAAGGTGCACTGGCTGGAAATTGAACCTGATACTCCCATATAGAAGTCAAGAGGTCTGTAACTGAGCCACCACCAAAAATAGTGTTAATTTAAAGATTAAAATTGTATATAAATAAGGATTATAGCTCAATGCCAAAAAACAAAAATTCTCACTTCTGGACCAATAGACAACATGAATGACAGAAGGAGAAAAGATAGAAACTGTCAATTAATTTATCCCACCTGGATTCACAATCAACAACCTTGCTACCAGCAGTCAGAAGGTCAAGAGATTGCACTGGGAAAGTCTGCAGTCAAGGACATCTCCAAATTATTGAGAAGTAATGTCAGTTTGAGGACTAAGGTGCATCTGATTCAGGCACTGGCCTTTTCAGTCATTCTCTATGTCAACAACTAATCTGGGAGCTTAACAATAATAAAGATGGCAGAAAAAGAATTGATCCCTTTGAGCTTTGGTGTTGGAGAGAGTACTGAATATCCCGTGGGCTGCCAAAAGAACAAACACTTATGCCTTGGAAAAGGTGCAACCAGATTTCTTCTTGAAGGCCAAGATGACAAAGCTTCTTAACAGAGGCTATTCCTTGGAGAGGGACACTATTCTTGGAAAGGTGGAGAGTTGGCAAAAGACAGGAAGATCTTCAACCATATAGACTGATACAGTGACTTCTGAAATGGGTTCAAGTATTTCAGAGATAGTGTGGATGGTATAGGATAGGACAGCGTTCAGATCTGTTGTTTATAGGGTCACTATGTGTTGTGCTTGACTCAATGCCACCCAAAACAACAACATAAAGATTAAATGAGATAGTGGGTTTAAAGTGCTTGAAAAATTACCAACCATATAGAAATACAGAAGAACAAATAGGACTGTCTTTGAAAAGGTAAAACCAAGTTTCCCCTTGGATGCAAAGATTTTTGAAGCTCCACTTCACATACTTTGGGCACATGACCAGGTGGGACCAGTCCTTGGAGAAGGACATCATGCTTGGAAGGGTGGAGGGAAAAAACAGGAGATAAAGATCCCATGAATGAATGTGGATTGACACATTAACTGGTGCAATGAGGGTAGGTGTGTTAGAGTCAGTGAGACTGCCTCAGGATAAGGCAGGGTTCAGAGCTATTTCACATAGTGTAACTTTGGGTCACAGACTTAATGGCACATAACACCAACAACATATAGATAACAAGATTATAATGGATTTCATGTCACAGCATTAGAAAATTAGCAGATATTGAAAGATGCTGCAATTAGAGAGTTTTTTTTTGGTGTTAAGTACTGTCTAGTCAGAATTGACTCATAATTGACTCTTTTAGAAGGTTTTTAGAGGCTATATAAATCACACAAGAGGAGATATTCCATCTTTCTCCACCAGAGCAACTAGTGGATTTGACTGTTTGCCTTTGGGTTGACAATGCATCTTCTTACCACTAGGGTACAAAAACTCCCTAGAGGAGTTATCCATTTTTGTAATCAGAATTTACACTTTTGTAAATAAATAATTGCCAAATAAGTATTTTCAAACAATGTGTTCTTGTTTTCTGTGAACAGTATTATTCCAAAGTATAGACTCAGCCAGGCTTGGCCTAAGGTTTAAGGCAAGACTGGGCTTCTAAGCCCAAAAGGGCCCAAGGGCCAGGTTCAAATTGTTTTCCTGTCAAACATTCTTCTAGGTGGTATAGCACTGGTCTGTGCATTGCTGTACAGAGGTAACTCGTGGTTGCTGTGCACTGGGACATTGATGTGGCAAACATGGTAATGGTTACCCATGGTGGACAGTGTTTGCAGGAGATTCCCGACTAAATTAAGCCTGAAAGCAGGAGCGGCATCCGCTTCCAAAATGGCTTGCCTCCGGAAACTCTATGTACAAACAGTGCTCGGGCCTTTCGTTCATAGTGTCACTATGAGTCGTCTACGACTCAATGGCACCTAACAACAGCAACATAGAGGATTAGTGCTTTCTAAGAACAAACTGCATATAAAAGGGATACATTTTTATATTAAATCAGATCACATGATGATCTATATGGCTTTGTTAATCAAAAACAATTGACTATTATTTTGGTATTTAAGTTTTCTGTAGATAATATTAATTTTATAGAAATGCTACTAAATTTTATATGAATTCTACTAAAGTTGTAAAAAAATGAGAGTCTGAAGTAAAATGGGCAAAATTATTGAGTTGCCAAAACCTGATGAAATATGAATGAGTAGAATATGTTTGATTTATTTCTAGAGCTCTTAAGCCCAAGAAGTTTCATGCTAACCTCAATTTTTATATATATATGCATTTTCTTAGAGAAAAGTGCATTGCTTTCATTAAACTTCCAAAGGGAAGAAACACTGAGCCAGAATATCTTTCTCTTTTCAGATAGAATTGAGCATGTTGTTGCATGCTCTAGGTTGCTATAGGGTCAACTACAAGTCATAGCAACTCTATGAAAACAAACCAAATATTTTTCCCTATAGATTATGACAAAATTAAGAAATATTTATAATTTTAATAGAAATATGACATTAGAAATATAGATGATATTAAAAGTTGTTGTTATTGTTATGTGGTGTCAACTCATAGGGACCCTATGTACAACAGCCCTAAATCCTGCTCTATCCTGTGCCAATCTTCTTGTCTCTGACACACCTACCCCCACTACCCTAGTACTGAATCAATCCATTTCATCGAAGGTCTTCCTCTCTTGACCTGTATCTCCATCATCCCAAGCATGACATCCCTCTCCAAGGACTGGTCTCTCCTTGAAATATGTCCAAAGTAGGTCAGATGAAGCTTCAGAGTCCTTGCCTCCAAGGAGCAGCCTGGTCTCATCCTCTCTAGGATGAACCTGTTTGTTCTCCTAGCATCCATGGTATATTCAATAATCTTCTTCAGCACCACAGCTCAAAGGCATCAATTCTCTTTCTATCATCCCTAGTTATTGTCCAGCTTTCTGATGCATAGCAAGTAATTGCAAAGACTATGGACTGGATCAAGCACACCTTAGTCTCCAGACTGACATTGTTGCTTTTCAATACTTTGGAAAGGTGTCTGACAGCAGATTTTCCCAGTGCAATATATCATAATTTTCTCGATGTTGGTACCAAGGGTGTTGATTGTGGAGCCAAACAAATTAAAGCTGTTAAGAATCTCAATCTCTTCACCATCTATCATGATGCTACCAATTGGCCCATTGGTGAGAATCTTTTTTTTCTTGATGTTGAGCTTCACTCCATATTGAAAGCTGCAGTACTTTACCTTCTACAGCAAGCAAGCAATTCAGGTTCTACTCAGTTTCAGCAAGAAGGGTTGTCATCTGCATAATGCAGTTTGTTGATGAGTCTTCCTCCAGTCCTGATTTATTTCTGGATTTCTTCTCATCAAGCCCAGCCTCCCATATAATCTGTTCTGCATATAGATTGAAAAGTATGGAGTACTAAAAGTTATGACATCCAAATAAGCCTAATTATTCTGTCAAGCTAATGGATCCATTGGAGATATAGTAACCACGTGGTAACAGAATGTCTATATCACAGGCATATACTCATTCTCATTGTATATAGTAATGATACTTTTGAAATTTCCGTAGACAGTTGGCTAAGGATTACATTATTTCAGTGTACACAAAGAAGAAAGTGACTAAAAGCTTACTGTTTCTTCTAACTTGAACATTTAGGTGACCTACAGCATTGATGGCTGTATCAGGAATCTTCAGATGGCAGAGGCTCCTGTTGACCTTGAAAAACCAACCTCCAGCTTCCATGTTGAAACATGTTTTGCAAATGTTCAGAAGGGAACATATTTTGATGGAACAGGTTTTGCCACAGCAGGTGAGATTTTTCCATTTCTTTCCTTTTTTAATATTTTACTACCATCAACTTGATTCCAGCACCTAATGAACCTTAGAAGAAAGAGCAAAAGCCATGCAAGGATTACTGTCTCTGACCTTTATCAACTTTGCTAAGGAGAACTGTCCCTGTCCAGAATATCAATAACACAAAACCAATTCCCATGAGGTGAGTCATGTCCCCACACTTTCCTGCCTCTTTCTACTTATCTCAACACCAACCTTACTGTTTTACTGGGTCCAAAATCCTGTGTGATAGCTCACAGACCACACAGAACTTGATTGGGGAAGTCAAAGGTATAATCTAGATTAATAACATAATATAGTCAACAGCTCCAAAAATGTGCACTCAGGTGCCTCCAGCTCAAACCTCATGGCTTTTTGGCCAGTGTTCTCAAATTCTCAATCCTGCTGATATTGGCTCTATCTCATACACATACACCCCACCACCACTACCACTACCCCAAGTTCCCATCATCATCAGTTTTCTGAGGCTATGAATCTTAACAAGAGAAAATTGCTCCTCTTCCTCCCCAGGAGTTGCTAGGGTTTTTAATTGTTGGAGACTAACAGTTTTCTTGTTAACTCTCCAAATTTCTTAAAATTCACAAATGGTTAGTACTCTCTTAGGTAAATTTGATGGCAAGATTCAGCTTCTGCAGTCAATGGCTTACGTTGACTTGTCTGATTTCTATAGATTCTGTATCACTCTTGACCAGAAAAATAGTCACTTCCTCAATTCCCAACAACTCTAGCTACTCCATCAAAATAGAGTGTAATATACACTATGCTTTACATAAGACTTGGTAGACAAAGGAGGAAGTTAATCCACTGGAAAGTGTATAGACATCTACATTGTAGACGTCTTTATACTTAAAACATTTTAAGTCATTTTTTTGTATGTCTATTTGTTTTGTTTGATTTGATTATTTTCATTGGTCTCTGTTACTCTCCCTCAGCTGACCTTCTTTATGATATTCTTCAGTTTGCTTGAGCTGCTCCTCCTCTTTGAAAATCTCTAGACTCCTTGTTGTCCAAACAATATTCAGTGTAACAGATTTCCCTCTTCTATGGAGATAACTGTAGATATCTACAGCATTTCTTTCTTTTGTTACATAATAGATAGAAGACAAAGAGAACATATTTTTTTATTAGATTCTTCTCTACTATTCCCCTTAGTTGATGTAATATAGCTTGAATCTTAACAAAATATTTTTTCTTTATTTTTAAACATAATAGTTTTAGGAGCAAAATATACAAACCAAAACAAATCCATTCACAATTTTGACATGAACTATTTCATAACATTTATTACATATTTCTCACTCTGTCATCTTTCAGTGTTCACTCACATTATTGCATCACTAACAAATCCTTAAAGTTCTCACCTGGCCTTTAGACTAACTGTGTCAGATAGATAGATAGATAGATAGATAGATAGATAGATAGATAGATAGATAGATAGATGTTATTTATTTATATGTGTATATATGTTTATAAACATTGTATACTTTATATAATAAATTCATAACTATATGTTTATATATAATTTCATAAAGATGGAAATTATGTGTATACTGACGTTTATTGTTGTAGGCAAGGTAGACATGACCCATAGCTGACCCTTCAGTGGGTTTTTAGAGGCAGCAAGTCACATGGAAGATGATAGCCCATCATTCTTCTGCAGAACAGATGGTAGATTTAGTCTTTGGGATTTTAGCACAAATTTTTACCACTAGAGTCCCCTATATAAATATGTTGTTGTTGTTGTTGTTGTTGTTATGTGCCATTGAGTTGCCTGCTACTCATAGTGACCCTGTATACAACAGCTCTGAAGCCTGCCCTATCCTGAGCCAGTCTCACTGACTCTGATATACCTACCCCATTGGCCCAGTTACTGTATCAACCCATCTCATCCGGGGTGTTCTTCTCCTATGCTGTCCCTTCACCCTTCTGAGCATGATGTCTTTCTCTAAGGCCTGGTCCCTCCTGCCTACATGCCCAAAGTAAATGAGACAGAGCTTCAAAATCTTAGCCTCCAAGGAGAAACTTGGTTTAACCCTCTCTTATTTGTTTTCTTGGTTGTCCATGGTGTGTTCAGAGTGTTCTCCAGCACCACAACTCAAAGGCATCAATTCTTCTTCTGTCATCCTTAGTCATTGTCCAGCTCTCTGATGAATAGAAAATAATTGTGAAACTATGGCCTAGATCAGGTGCACATTAGTCTATAGACAGACATCATTACTTCTCAGTCCTCTGGAGAAGTCCCTGACAGTATATTTACCTAAGGCAATTAATCTTTTGATTTTCTGAGTGGTAATGAGTGTTGATTGATTATGGAGCCGAGCAAGCTTTAACTATTATAAACCTCAATCTCCTCTCCTTCCATCATGGTGCTACCAATTGGCTCAGTGGTGAGAATCTATCTTCTTGATGTTGATCTTCAATCCATATTGAAAACTACAGTCCTTGACCTTCTGCAGCATGAGCTTCATGTACTCCTCAGTCTTACAAGATTCAAGATAAGAAAAAAGAAAAATAGGCCATCATCAAAAAGAGATATAGAAATAGATATAGACATAGAGCTACAGACAGATAGATGAGAGAAAGAGAAATTTCTCTAAAAAGAAAAAGTTTTGTACACTTGTGGAAGCTGGCAAGTCTCAAATCCATGGGTCAGAACTCAGGAAAGAGGCTTTTCTAACTCATTAAACTGAAGAGCATGATGAATCCAAAGTATACTGGCGAGACAAATCATTAGTTTGAGTCCAAAGAACTGGACATTATAAGCCAGACTCAGGATTCTAGTTGGAGAAAAAAAAAGCAAGAGAGTTTTGCCAAATGTTCACACATAGTCAACATAGGTCACAGTCCTGATGAAACTCTCTTTCAATGTCTTGCCCGCTCATAGAATATTTCATTTTGAAGGTAATTACATTATGTAATGTGCCACAAGAAAAGTCTTATATCTAAACTCATCAAAGAATGATTTCATTATACCAAAATTGGCCAAATAATGACTACATTACAGCTACCAAGTCAGATTATCATAGACAGTCAAGTTAACACACAATCTTGACTATCATAGTAATTTTTCAACTATTTGCTAGCAATCGAATACCTTGTTATCTGACATTTTGCATTTATAGCAATAATGAAAAGTATACTTTTTTTGGATATTTACAATGTGAATCTAGAAGTCACAAGCATTTAGGTGAAAGGCAAAATTTAGCATTGTGATATTTAATCTTATTTGTGAATGTAGCTGGACATGATTCTTTTGTCTGCTAAGAAACTTGACAATTATATCGTGATGTAATAACTCTCCATACAATCTTCTTATGATCATTTTCATTCTCACATCATGCCTCTTTTCCCATAACGAACTGAACTCTGGAACCCAGCCATACTAGTAAGTGTGGAGTAACTGTAAGATATTTAGAGACTTTTTCCACACTTTCAAGTAGTTGTGGTACTTTTTAGAATCTTCCAATAAAATTTTCCTAAAGAATCACTGAAAGGATTTACTTAATCCAAAAGAGACATTTCTAAGACAATCATACCTAACTCTAAGATTCGTTATTGCGCATCAATGCAGGTTAATTTATTCATACTCAACCAATATACTTATTACCATGCAAACTATAAAATACTTCTACTACATGTGGTATTATTATAAAGATCCAACTGTTAATGTAAAGGTCGGTAGCTCAAACCTTCTAGTCACTCAGTGAGAAAAATATATTTGTGTTCATAAAAATTATAGCCTTGGGCATTCTGTGGGACAGATCTATTCCGTCTTTGTAAGCCAGAATCAGTTTAGCAGCAATGGGGTTTTTTGCTTTATGTGCTAGATAAGGATTCATTGATTACTCAAAAGATCTGAGTAACTAACCTACTGGTTGGAAATTCAAGTCTTCCAACGGAAGACCATGGGTTGGAAGACTATGGAACTGCATCATAAAGTCCTGGAAATCTGTTTTTGTACAGATTGACTCCAGCCAAGAGACCTCTGTGGAGCAGTTCTACTATGTAACACGTACGGGGTTGTCATGAGTCAGAATCAATTTTATGGAAATTAGGTTTACAGTCCTTCTGGAATTGTGCACTAACTCAATTGTTGAGCATCTTTGGTTATTTGAATCCACGAGTTTCTCTGATGGTTCAAAACTACCAGTGGCTCTGAGCTTGAAAGATAAGCACTCTCTTCCCATCATGATTCAGAGCCTCAGAAACATGTGGCATCTCACTGAGAGTCAGAAACAGGAAGCCAGCGTGAGTTTGGGGGTCTTTCTTCAAAACAAATAATTTACAGATTAATATAGACCAAGTCGTTACTTACAGAGAGCCTACACTCTAGCAGAGAAGGTAGCCAAGAAAATAAACAATAGCTAATAAAATGCAGTAAGTAATATGATGCTGGAAATCAAGGTCATGTGGGAAAACCTAACTGACAGTCCTCATTATTATTGGTTAAAATATAAATTGAAACCTAGGACCATACACATTTGAAGTAATGTGTGTAACCTCTAAATTGTAATTTGTAAAATCTTTTTGTCTTACAGTTGGTGGCTTCAAAGTGGGATTGGATCTCCTGGTAGAATTTGAATTCCGCACAACCAGAACCACTGGCGTTCTTCTAGGAATTAGCAGCCAAAAAATGGATGGAATGGGTATAGAAATGATTGATGAAAAGGTGAATGTCACCAGTCCCAACATTTCTGGATCTCCTGATTAAAATATAATTAATGTATAGAGAACTCTTATTTTTAGTTCTTCAGACTGAACCCCTACTGTATTCTTTGTATAAAGAAACCTAGCTTGTACCTTTTACCCTTCTAGACTATCTAAAGTCCTATGTGTTTACAGCAGTTTTTCTGTGCAACAGTGTAAACTCTGAAAGGTTTATTCCAAAGCCAGCCAGTTGTGTTGACTAATACGAGAACTGATGGTTTGTCTCAGGTTTATTCCCTGCAAGTGTTAGAGAACTATTTTTTTTCTCCTCTTCATTATAAACATTTGTAGACTGGTCTGTTTCAATAGGGTAGGGGACTTGCATCATCTAAGGTCAGTTTTGCCCTCTGATAATAGCATGCACATATTTCAAACCAAGTTCTCCAGCTGGTATAGTAACTTTTTTTTTTATTTACTTTTTTTACAGCATCCAGATATCCTATGAAATTAGAGCAAATTTGTAGCAAAAAATATTTTGTCAATTTGCTTACTAATAAAATGAGATCTAGTTCAATAAAGCTCTTTGGTCACTGCCTGCCTATCATTGGCAATCTGCAATTAGAACTGTTTGCATAAATTTTAGATGCTGAAGAGTCAGCTCTGACTCAGTTACCCTTTGTAGTACTAACGGTCCAACCTGTGTATGAATAGAGAGTTTAGACAAGAGAGTGTTGCACTATGTAACCCAAAGGCCATGTCCCTCAGGTCATTCATATTCATTACGAGCACCAAAGGGAAATATGGACAATTTACTTCAATGTGATTTATAGTCTGAGAAACCCACTGAAGAGTCAGATATGAGCTGGTTCCTAGTCCAGGTAAAAGAGTTCAAGTCCGAGGTAGGGAAACAGAAGAAAAGACCAAGATAGAAATTTTACAAGTTTCCTTTTTGGCTAGTAGATAGGAATCCTACTTCAACATCATTCATATTTCATAATTCGAACATTATCACCTCCTTCCCAAGAAGGAAAAAAACAAATCCACAGTGACCCTTTGCTTTCTAGCTGCACCTTTTTATTCTTCACTCCTCCCCCAGGCTCCAAGTCATCCTCAAAAGGAATATAGCAAAAACATTTTTTTAAAAAAGCAATATCATAAAAAAGATTCAGAAACTCAAAAGCCAAAAGGATAAATGAATAAACAACACTTAAAGTTTTGCCCAAATTTGAAAGCACACTTGGAGTTTTCTGAAGGGAGCTTCATTTCATTGCCTGCTCACCACTGCAGTTGCTTCAACATGCCCAAGTATCAAGTTCTGTTACAGAGCACGTGGATTTCTTACCTCAATCCTGCAAACTTCTGGTATTGCAAACCTCAACCTCCCTAAGAAACCTATTCATTAATATTTACAACGCCAACTAATTCAGCAACTTCTCGCTTGCACTTTAATTTTTTTAAAAATTCTATTTCTTTTCTTTTACTTTGTCAGATATATCACCTAATTGTACTTTACGTTTTTATGGTTTCAATATGTTTCTTGTCTTCATCAGCTTCAAAAGAATTCAGTCATCTCAAATTTCAGGGACTTTTTCATGTTACTTGAAAACAGATTTGTTTTCCTTTCAAATAAGAACTCCAATCTAACTTGTACATTGTTAGGAAATTAACTGGCCTTCCAGCTCAAGGATTTGGGCACCTGTGACATGAAGCTTGACCTCAAAAGTAATTTATGTGACTTTCTGATCTGTGTGCAAATGAAACCCATGTAGGAAAGAAGACTAGACTTATAACATCAAAAGTTTAATTTTGAAAAATGGCAGTAATCCTTTTAAAAATATTTATAAATCAAATTAGTGAATCAATTCAAACAATGTCTTTTAAGGAATGTACATAAAGTACATTAAGAATTCTTACACTCTTTAAAAAACTGATAGAATTTTCCTCTATGTATACTAGATTTTTTTTAATTGACCTCTATATTTCCTATTTTTTGATAGCAGAATTATTACTTGCTTCATACATCTTGCCTATTTCTCTCAATAATTCCCCAATACAAAAAAGCATTACTTATGAACATAGGTAATTATGTTTATCATTTATGTCACTTTTTTTTAATATAACTCAATATGCTTGCCACACTCTTCTACTCCATGTATTTCCTTGTTGTTGTTGTGTACCACTAAGTAGGAACTGAGCCATAGCTGACCCTCAGATGGACTTTCAGAGGCAGTTAATCCCAGGGGAGGAAATTGCCCATCCTCTCATGGAGCAGCTGGTGGATTTGAACAGTGAAAATCTCCTTTCCAAGAGACTGATAATTATACTATGTGAGCTATCATGATATCCCTCCAACGAAATCTCCTTTGACTATTCAATTCCCTATTCTGTAGCTCATGTTTCATGTGGACAATGGAGCTGGTCGATTCACTGCCATCTATGATGCTGGGATCCCAGGGCATTTGTGTGATGGACAATGGCACAAGGTCACTGCTAAGAAGATCAAACACCGAATTGAGCTGACTGTTGATGGGAACCAGGTGGAAGCCCAGAGCCCATACAGAGCATCCACATCAGCTGACACGAATGACCCTGTGTTTGTTGGCGGCTTCCCAGGTAAGTAGGAAAAATGCTTTTGTTCTGGTTTGGAAAATACTTATATTCATAAAGTAAGCCCCAGAATGTGAATATTAGTGTATTTGGCACTGGCTTTATTTATCTCCATAAATAACACCTTACCTAAAGTTTCCAGAGTGCAAAATGAATATATTAGTTATAGAAACCACATGGGATTGAAATTTTCATATTCACCCCAAGTTTAATTTGTAGGGAGACTGAGGCTAGAGGAAATGAATTTGACTTATAAAAGATATGAGACTGTTAACAGAAATTGGCGCCAGAGTTGGCATTCTGTCTGATTATTTTACATTAATATAGCAAAGGAATCATAAAATGTTATGGGGATCATTTCCTCAAGTTCTGGAAATCATTGGGTTAAATAGAACTAATTCCTCCCTCACATTATTATGAAGTTTATATTTCTATTACAAAGAAACCAGGCAATAAATCTGCATTTAAAAAATCCCTCTCCAGCACATTAAGCATAGCATGTGACCACAGAGGGTTACTTGAAGTGCTCATAAATAAGACTAAACAACTCAATGAGAAATAAGTCAAGTTCAATTTAATAAGAGCTGTAAGAATGCAGATGCTTGGAATGTGCTTTCATAATTTTTGGAAAAAAATGTTTATCATCAAAGTTTGTTGTTTTGTTTTGTTTTTATTTACTTAAAAACCCTCATTGCCATCAAGTCAATTCCAACTCATAGCAACCCTCTACATTGGAATTGGAAGAGATTGCCCAGCTTTCTCTATTGGAGCCTCTGGTGAACTTGAAACACCAGACACACACAGCCATGTGCTGTGATCAGCTGAAGTCACTACAGACTATGCCATCAGAGCACTCCTCATTGATTAAAATTAAAACAAACAAACAAAAAAAAAAACCCCAAACGAACAACAGTGCTTGACAAAGGAAAAACTATAGGAGAAATGAAGATCCATTCAGTGCTCCTCTTCCCAAAGTTACTTCTGAGACCCACTTCTGCTTCAACCACAAATCACCTCAGGACAAGTCTACCTCACCTGTGAAGTGATGTCCTAGGTACCACCTAGGAGACTTGCTGAAAGAAGGCATTATTACTGCAATAACTGAAAGATTTTGTTTCTTTTCAATCAACTTTACCTCTTAGGAGTGATTTCTACTTATGGAGCCTATAGCAAGTTGCACTGTTAACCCAAAGACCATGTCCCTCTGGTTCAAATATACCAGTCACTTTTAGGGAGCAATAGGGGCAATCTCCACCCATGTGATTTACAGCCTTAGAAACCCAATGCAGGGTCAGCTAGAAATTGTTTTCCTGACCCAGCATAAGTGAGTGAGTGAATAACTTCTTAAGATACAACTTTATACCCTGGTGGAGAAGTTTTTGGATGTGTATAGGGATTTGATTCTTAGAAGATCCCATTCATCTATTTTATTTTCTCCTGGTTGTAGGTTTTTCAGGATACTTGGAAGACTGTTTATGTTGTGGATTAGGACTTCTAGCGTTCTTCCAAGCTTTTCTTTAATGAAGATTATAGTTCTCGATTTTTGTCCTAGGTCCATGATCCACCTTGAGTTGGTTTTTGTGTATGGAGTGAGGTGTGGGTCTTGCTTGAGTCTTTTGCAGATACTTTTCTAATTTTGCCAACACCATTTGTTAAAAAGTCTGTCCCCACTTAACTGATTTCATCTCCTTGTCAAAAATCAGTTGACAATAGATAGATGGGTTGATCTCTAGGTTCTCAATTCTATTCCATTGATCTATGTGTCTCTGATTGTACCAGTGCCATGCTGTCTTGACTACCAAGGCAGTATAGTAGTATTTGAAATCAGGGAGTGAGATACCTCCTATCCCAGACTAGGAAAAATTATTTGGTAATGACATATCAGATAAGTGACTTATACCTAGAATTTATAAAATACTTGAGCACCACAAGATAAAGGTAAATAATCCAATAGAAAAATGGGTACAGGATATGAACAGACACTTCACTGAAGAAGACATTCAGATGGCTAACAAGCATATGAAGAAATGTTCAAAATCCCTACCTCTAAGAGAGATGCAAATCAAAACAACTATGAGATATCATCTCACCCCAGTTAGAATAGCAAAATTTAACAGAACAGCGAGCAACAAATGCTGGCGAGGTTGTGGAGAAACTAGAACCCTTATTCACTGTTGGTGGGAGTGTAAAATGGTGCAACCACTGTGGAAGGTGGCATGGCGCTTTCTCAAAAAGTTGCAAATAGAGATACCATTTGACCCAGCAATTCCACTACTGGGAATATACCCCGAAGAGACTGTAACTGACATCCAAGCAGATATATGCACACCCATGTTTATTGCAGATTTGTTCACAATAGCAAGAAGTTGGAAACAACCTAAGTACCCATCAACAAACAAATGGATAGAGAAGCTCTGGTATATTCACACAATGGAATACTATGCTGCATTGAAAAACAAGGAACTCATGCACTATTATTCAAAATGGGTGACCCTGGAGGACATTATGCTGAGTGAAGTATCTCAGTCACAAAAGGACAAAGACTGCACAGTGCCATTGTTGTAAAGCAGGACTGACCTCTGAATTGGGAGGAGACTGAGAAGGATGGGTTCAATAATGTATACTGCATTGAAACTTATGAGGGAGAAAACTCTTTAAGAGGGAAAATTATTAGGTACTTTTGTCATGATAGGAGTCCAGAGTGAAGGCTGTATAGTGGAGTGGACCTGGGGGAGGGTTTTTAAAACAATGAAAGAATTTTTCTTTTACTTTTCCAAGAGGGTCGTGTACTAGGGGGAGGGTTGGGAGGGGAGAAAAGTGTAACAATTAATGAATGGAAATCCAAAGTCTCTGTAAATTTTCATTGAAATTAGTAATAAATTTGGAAAAAAAGATACAACTTTATAAAGTAAAATAAATTAATAAAGGCATTGTTGAAAACCCATGTATTTGGGGTTTTCAGAATTAATATTATCTGATCAATTGCTTTGTTTCATTAAATAAGATGCAATATTTCTAAGTCATAATTAAAAATTCATTTATCCCAAGTCATTTCTTTCCTTGATACATTAAAATGTATGGTGCTAGATGTTTTCATACTTCATAATACAAAACTATAAAAAGTTGATCTTTCTCTGTAGGTGTAAATGGTTTTTTAAATATTTTTTTTAATTTTAATTGTGATTTTAATGAAAGCTTAAAAAAAGTTGGATTTTCATTCATTCATTGTTGCACATTTCCCCGCCTCTCCTTCCCTTCCTTATCCCCAGTTCACTTTTTAAAAAATTCATTCATTGTTGCACAATTACCTCCCTCCTTGCCTCCTCCTCTCAGTCCTCTTCGCAATGTACCTCATATTCTGGGCTGTTATCATATGTGTAATATCTAATCATGTATTCATTTTAAACAGTTACGTTCTTCAACTGTGCAAATGCAGTGTTCATTATCCATCCAATTTTATCCTATTTTCCTCCCAACCACCCAAGTCAGTCCTGTTTTATAACAGTGGTGCTATGCAGTATTTTTCCTTTTGTGACAGAGATATTTCACTCAGTATAATGTCCTCCTGGGTCACCCATGTTGTGTAGTATTTTATGAGTTTATTATTTCTTAGTGCTACATGGTATTCCATTGTATAAATATGCCATAGTTTTTCTATCCATTTGTTTCTTAAAGGGCACTGGCTTTGCTTCCATTTCTTTGCTATTGTAGGTAATGCAGCAAAAAAATAGGGTGTGGGGGAAAAATAGGGTGTATATACATCTATTTGGATGAAATTTCTGCTTTCTTTAGGGTATATCTTCAGTAGTAGCATTGCTGAATCGGACGATTTCTATTTCCAGCTTTTTGAGAAAGCACCAAACCACCTTCCATAAGGGTTGTACCATTTTACACTCCCACCAGCAATGAATAAGGGTTCCATTCGCTTCACACCTTTTGCAGCATTTGTTGTTTGCTGCTCTGTTGAACTTTGCTATTGTTGCTCAAGTGAGAAGATATCTCATAGTTGTTTTAATTCAAATTTTTCTATAGTTAGGGATTTTGAACACATCATCATGTGTTTGTTTACCATCTGAATGTCTTTGGTGAAATGTCTATTCATATTCTCTGTCCATTTTGTGATAGATTTATCTCTTTCTTGTTGAAGTACTGGAGTATTTTTTAAATTTTATATATGATTCTCTTATCAGATATGTCATTTCGAAATATGTTTCCCGGTCTGTGGCTTTCCTTTTAATCTTGTTGGAGAAGTTTTTTGATATGCAAAGGGATTTGATGTCCCATTCATCTATTTTGTTCTTTCCTGGTTCTAAGTTTTTCATTATGCTTGAAAGACTGTTAATATTGTGAATTAGGGCTTCTAAAGTTCTTCCAAGATTTTCTCTGATGAAGTTTATAGTCTTTGGTTTTACTCCTTGTCCTTGATCCCCCTTGCGTTGGATTTTATGTATGGTGTGAGGTGTCTGTAGATGTAATTGTTGTTATTATGTGCCTTTGAGTTGTTTGTGACTCATGGTGACCCTATGTCCAACAGCTCTGAACCCTGCTCCTTCCTCTGCCAACCTTATTGTCTCTGACATATCTACCCCCTTACCCAAGTCACTGAATCAATCTATCTCATCAAGGGTTTTCCTCTCTTGCACTGTACTTCCACCCTTCCAAGCATAACAATCGACTTTTAAATGCAAAGGCCCTCCATGAGGTCTTGTTGACCCTAATTTCCAGCTAGAGGAGTAATTTTCCAGCACGCATCTATCAGACAGTATCTATCAGACAGTATTCTATTATAATCCATTAGTCTCTCAAGGGCAAATTTTGGAAGTAGATCACCAAACCTTTCTTCCTAATCAGCTTTATCCACCATGGGTGACTCTGCTAGTACTTGAAAACCCATGACATAGAGCGCAGCTTCGTAGTAGCATACAGGTCAACATAGCGTGACAAACTGACAAAAATTTACGTAAGACACCGTTTCAGTTTACCTTCAAGCTACGAAGTGACTTTGGGATATATTCTTAACATTACATCAACTTTTCTACACTAACCTTTTTTTTTTTTAACCCTTTTGTTTTCCCTCTCCCAGATGGCCTTAATCAGTTTGGCCTGACGACCAACATCCGTTTCCGAGGTTGCATCCGGTCCCTGAGGCTCACCAAAGGAACAGGAAAGCCACTGGAAATTAATTTTGCCAGAGCTTTGGAGCTGAGAGGTGTGCAACCCGTGTCATGCCCAGCCAGCTAGTTAAAATAAATTTAACCCAAGAAGAGTCCCTCAGAAGAGTGTATCAAGTAAATCAAGTATATTTTACCCATGTATCCTAATAAAACTAACTAATGCATCACATTCTTTCTGTATTCAATTAAAAATCTAGATTGAGTTGGTGCTAATTGAGACCTGAGACTGAACCTAATTCCATTTCTTTCTCAAGAATAATAAACTACTTATTTCATTCTAAAGAGCAGCTCATTCCGTTTGACAATGTCTAAGTACAAAAGATAACTGAGTATAACTTTCTAAATTTGTAATGTGCCCTGTAGTCATTGCAAGAAGAGCTCAGATGTCATTTATGAAGGCAGTTGTTTCTTACATGCATCTACTCATGCTTTTTATTATTCTTTTTCATGCATGGTGGTTTTGGTTTCCTGTCCAGCCCACTGAAACAATAGTAGATTTGGGGTCCAGGGTTGGCAGAAAATCAGCTCCCACCTCCAAGTCTGAAAGTCTAACCATTTCTCTGACGCAGGTTTATTATTAGAGAGTCTAACTAGACTCTTGAGTGAATATGTTGTCATGCCAAGGATAGTGATAGATCAGATTCAGGGCAGAGAGCTAAATTACTTGATTTTCTTGTTTGATAATGCCTTAAAGGCTTTGGGGACATAGCAGAACCACACTACAGAATAACAATTAATTTGATACTACAGCATTGAGACTTTAAGCTCCTGGAGTTTACAGGGCATATCACAACTTGTATGTAAGTATAAAGGAATAGTGTTGAAATGTGTTTTGATTTAGCAGAACAAAAAAAAAAAAAGAGGCAGCAATGTAAACATCCTTGCAGTGTATCTTTTTGAGCTGTAATTTGACCTAACAAATCCCTTTCCTAAAAAATATGCTTTTCCCCCCTCTTTTTTCAATGATCTGCAAATGAGTTTCTGAGAAGAGGAGCCTTCATTTGTCTGTCAATGTAAACGGAAAGTTTCATTCACCATTTTTAGTACCAAGTGTTGAAGTTTAATGTATAACAAGGAAAATAAGGTCTATTTCCCTCATGATGCAAATAAAGAATGATCTTCTCCAACTATTTTTTCCACCAGGGGAAAATAAATTTTGTTTCTAATCTAGAGGATGGCTAACAAACTCTTAGCATCTCATCTTTGGCCAGATGCTCAGAATAACTTGACCATACAACTTCATTCTGGATCAGTAGTTTTTCAATTTTAGCTCCATTCTGGAATTACCTGGAAAACATGAAAACCAAACCAAACCAAGAAACCAACCAAAACAGATGACCTAACCCAGTGTTTCAAATTGGATATACAATAGAGCCAGACCATTTCTACATTTTTTAAAAAGCTCCTCTGAATAGTCATGTGTTCAATGAAAGATAAGAAATTCTCTTCCTTCCAAAAGAGTGTGGTATAGTCATTTGAGAAGCCCGTTGTTCTTCGCCATGTCAACACACATAAATGTAATATTGAATCTAATAGATTTTGAGGTTACTATTGTTATGTGCTGTCGAGTTGTGTTCAACTTAAAACAACTCTATGCTATCTTCATCTTCTCTGACACACTTTAGCCCTTTGCTGCAGTCACTGTGTCAATCCATCTCATTGAGGGTCTTATTAGTTGATCCTCCAGCTAATGTTAAGAGAGGCTATTCTTTGGAAAAGGACATCATTCTTTACCATTCTTTAAGAATGATGTCCCTTTCCAAAGAATGGCTTCTCTTCACAACATGCCCAATTTATGTGAGATGGCATTTTGCCATCCTTGTCTCTAATGAGCATTCTTACTGTATTTCTCTCTTTGAGGTGTTTTGTTGTTTGTTGTTTTGTTTTTGTTTTTGGCTGGTAGCTTTTGACTAGCTTGTCAACAATAAAACAATTTGAAAATTAATATGGTTTAAAAATAAGAACAACACTTGTGCCTCTCCTCGTTAACAGGTAAAATAAAGTAGGATAAAGATGTTAGGTGCCATTGAGTTGACAGTAACCTACAGTGACCCTATGTACACAGAACAAAACTCTGTCCACTCCCACATCATCCTCACAATCTATGCAATGCTTTAAGTCCAGTTTGAGCAACCACGGTGTCAAGCCATCTTCTTACCGTCTGTCACCCTGTTTTTCTTTAATTCTGCTTCACCAAATATATCATTCTCTTCCTTGAATTAAAAACTTTCCTTTCATGTTCTAGCAGAAAGAGCCATAATAAATTAGACAGCAGTCCTTAGGAAGTTGTGCTGCTAACCTGAAGGTCCCACCTCCCCAGCAGATTGAATCTGCCAGCAACTCGTGGAGAGAAAAAATGGGTAATCTCCTGAGTTACTGACAGTCTTTTATTGGAAGATCAACCATAAGTAGTTTCCCATTCAATAGCAGTGAGTGAGGAGGTGACCAGAAATGAAGGAGTTCTGTTAATGAAATAAGTGGTTAAACAACTTGGTTGTTAACAGAAAAACTGCCTGTTCAAATCTATCAGCTTCCCTACAGGAGAAAGACATAGCAGTCTTATTCTGTAAAGAAAGCAGCTTTGGAAACTCTGTGGAGTTGTTCTGTGTAAATTTTCAGAAAAGGTCTGAATCAACTCACCAGCAACAAGGTTTGTTTGTTGGTGTGTTGATTTATTTGTTTGTTTTAATCAAAGTCCAGCTGAAGTCAATTTGTTAGGTAAAAACAACCTTAGAATAGTAGAGTTAGAATGGTCCTGTGAGACTATTGAATACAATGATTCTTAAGTGCAGTTGAAACATTGGTGCTTAAGAAAACAAACAACCAAACAAACAAAAAAAAACAACCCTGCCTATGCCTGGGTATTTACTAATGCTATTTGTCTTTTGATTTCCTGACTGCTGATGTCAAGAGTGTTGATTGTGGAGCTCGGCCAGAGCTGTTCTAGTTAACAACCTCAATCCCTTCTGCATCTATCATAGTGCTGCCAATTGGCCTAGTGGTGAGAATCTTTGTTTTCTTGGTGTAGAGCTTCAATCCATATTGAACACTACAGTCCTTGACATTCTGCAGCAAGCACTTCAGGTCCTCCTCAATTTCAGCAAGCAAAGTTGTGTCATTTGTGTAATGTAGGTTGCTGATGAGTCTTCCTCCAATCCAGATACTACGTTCCTTCTCATAAAACACAGCCTCCCAAAGGATCTTCTCTGCATAGAGATTGAAAAGGTATGGAGACAGGATGCATCCCTGACACACTCCTTTCCTTATTTTGAATCACGCTCTATTCTGAGGACTGCTTCCTGGTCCAAGTATAGGTTTTACATAAGCACAATCAAATGTTCTGGGATTCCCATTATTCTCAAGGTGAGCCACAATTTGTTGTAATCCACGAAGTCAAATGCCTTTTGCATAGTCAATGAAACACAGATAGATATCCTTCTGGTACTCTTTGCTTTCTGCCAAGATCCATCTGACATTGGCAATAATGTCTCTAGTGCCACGACCTCCTCTAAACCTGCTTTGTATTTCTGATAGTTCTCTGTCAATGTTCCAGACATTTCAGCAGTCACAAAATCAAAAGATTAATTGTGTTAGGTAAATCCACTGTCAGGGACCTTTCCAGAGTACTGAGAAACAACTATGTCAGTCTAAAGACTAAGGTGTGCCTGATCCAGTCTATAGTCTTCACAATTACTTGCTATGCATCAGAGAGCTGGACAATGAATAAGGATAATAGAAGAATTGATGTCTTTGGGCTATGGTGCTAGAGAAGTCATGAACATACCATGGAGCGTCAAGAACACAAATAGGTCTGTCTTGGAAAGGGTGAAACCAAGTTTTTCTTTGAAGGCTGGGATTTTGAAACTCCTTCTCACATCCTTTGGCCATGTGGCCAGGTGGGACCGATCCTTGGAGAAAGATATCATACTAGGAAGGGTGGAGGGACAGCACAGGAGAGGAAGACCTCAGTATTGATAGTTACTAGGGAAATGGGGTTAGATGTGTCAGAGTCAGTGAGATTGGCTCAGGACAGGGCAAGCTTCAGAACTGTTGTTCATAGGGTCTTTATGAGTCGCAGGCAACTTGACAGCACATAACATCATGCCTGGGTATATGTGTAGACCAACTAAGTAATAATCTTTGGTTACTGCCCTGGGATTTCCATTTTCTTGAAACTTTCTCAGTTGATTCTAACATATAGTTAGTATCAAAAACACTTAGATTTCTACAGCCTCCACATTTTGCCTGATGTAATCAGAGGGAAAGCCAGAGAGATTTGATGGCTTATTTAGAATGCTTTATTAGCTAAATTTTCCAGTGTGGTCCAACTAAAATTGTCTCTTAGACTCATGCAGAATTTCTTGAATCCTGGTGGCATAGTAGTGTGTAGGGTACTGCACTGCTAACCAAAAAGGTGCGTGGCTTGGGGCGGTTCAAATCCAAGGGAGGTAAATGGGTAGTCTCGTCAAGGTCGACCACCTTAAAAACCTTGGATAGGGCTGCTGTGGGTGAGAAGCCACTCAATGACAGGAGGAGAATGAGTCTTGGTTAAACTGGTTTTATACAGTATCCAAATTCCAGAGCAGCCCATGAATTTGAATAAACATTTTCAAATTTCAAAAGCAGAAATAATGTTATGAAAATAGAAAGTCTCTTTAGCATAATTTAGCTCATTTTCCATATCAAAATCAAATTAATTTTTCACCCCAAGAGAAATGTTTCTGTCTAGCCAACCATATCCCTTTACCAGTCACTTCACAACCTGTCAAACACAATAGTTTATGAAGCAAACAGAATCTTCATCTCTCCTCCAAACATCCACTCCTACAAGGTTGTCAGCTTTCTTTGAGAAGGTTCTGTGCACTTAGAAGGGGGGGGGGGCTTGCAAAGGGTTTTTATTGGAGTTACCATGGTGAACACCGCTGACAAAGGAAAATAAAGAACAGAACAGATTCCAGCCCAAATCACCAGGAAACTGCCAGACACTTAAGGCTTCAATTAGAGTTTTGAAAAATCATAACTATTTTTCTCCTACATTGATTTAGTCTATTGTCTCCAACAACAGAACGCATCTGAATGTTCTGCTTAACAACGGAGGAAAAGACTACTTAGACTAATTGAAAATCGCTTGCCTTTACGTGGGCTACTGAATTATCTTGTGTATA